GTTGAGCTGACGGAGGCTGATCCAGCACAGGGGTGCAGTGCCTGGTCCCCAGAGGAGGGCTCAGCCTGAGCCTCTGCAGCAGTGAGGATTGCATTCCTGCTGGTGGGATCCAGGAATTCTGGAGAGGACCTAAGGAGAACAGGTGCTATTGATAGATTTACACTGATTTACAGTGCTCCCCCTCCTCCTCAGGCCACTGCAGAGCCCCTGGAGGCTCACACCTGCACAGGCAAGGGAGCCAAGGTGAGCTGCTCTGCATCACCTGCACTGGTGATGATGGTGATGGTGACAGGAGTGGGATTTCAGCATCCCTGGGAGGAGTTTGCCTGTGAGAATAGCAGCTTGTGTCCTTTTAACTTCCAAAGAGGAGTCCTGTGAGCTCTGAGTGTCTGGAAAGGACCAGATCCAGGAATAACTGCAGTGGTACCAAGAACCTCAGCAGGCACTGACACCGGACCCATGCCATGCCTTGTGGGGTTTGGTCTCTGGTGGCTCAGAGATGCCACTGCAGCCTGCAGGGTGTCACACACAGCTCCTGTGGGCACAGGGAGAAGCCACAGTTAGTGAGTTACCCACTGCTCCTTGCTTCTGCTCTGCTTTTGACTCAGCTCTGCAACAGCTTGTGGGAAAGCTGAAGGAGAAAGATTTATTTTAATATTCAGATGTTCTCATTCACACTTACATATGTGTGTGTGGATGCCACACATATGTAACATCAATGTGTTTGTTTATCAGTGCTTTTCCTGCATGGCTCTGGTTCTCTAACAGCTCTCTCTTCTCCTCTCCACAAATAAATAACAATATTGGACCTGAATTCTAAATAAATTCTGAACACCAATAACCCCTTGAAGTTTTCTGGATGTCTTTAATTAGAGTAAAAGCCAAACAAAGCAATCAGAAGGAAACAAATGGTTGATGGACATCTCTATTCACTTGCTGGTGGTTAGGAGTAGAACTGGATAAAAGTTCATGGCAAATGTTTGGTTTTAGACCTGTCTAGCTTTTCTTGGTATTCTGCAATTATTTTTGTATGCATTTTTGGTGCACATTTATATTCTTTGAAATTCTGTATACATCTTTTGTATAAACATGTTTCAACACCCTGGTAGTAAAGTGCTGTTTAGCTGTATGCAGGGCTGTTAAAGGCATTTGTGTGACATTCAAGTAGTATCCAAGAAGAAGTTTATGCTTGGAGACCTGAAAACACCATAAAACAGAGAGTGAAAAATCAGAGATTCCTAGGTGATCACACAAGCATTTGCCTAAATTGTTAGAAGGATGCAAAAGTAGACAGCATGGCCCAGAATTATTTTAGTATAAAGGAATGGGTGTTCTAAATTTCTCTTTTTTTTTTTTTTTTTTTTTTTTTTTTCCAGATTCTGAGGAAGTTATAATTCACTTTTAATGGCATAATCTGTGTTCAAGGATATTTTACCTTTTCTCATTTCTTTTTCAGGTGATTTCCAAGGGAATAAAGCAGTCCCTTGCTCTGATGCAACTGCCTCTGGGTTTAAACATTTCTGGTTAACTCCAGCCCAGATGCAAAGCAGATCTGTTTCTTAGACAAAAAAGGAAAATCAAGAGAGAAGAATTGGATGGAGGGGAAGAATTTGATTTGTGAGGGTTCTTTTCAGAAAGTACCATAAGATCTTAAAGAAGGCAGCAGGATTAGAGCTTCTATTGCTTGTGAATTGCCTGAACTGCATGAGTGAGCTTTAAGGAGAGCAGTAATGAAGAAATAAAACAGCTTACAAGCTACACCAGCCCTGGAAAATAGGAGCATTTCACAAATGGCTTCATCTTCTTTGACTGGTGATACCCAACAGTGATGTAAAATTACTTCTTCTTGTAGTTATTCTGTTGTATCTGAAACACAAAGCTTTAGCTCTAAACCTGGCTAAAGAGTAAAACAAGAGAATGCAGCAATTTCTAATCTAGCCATTAGCTCAGCAGCAGGGTTGTCTCAGGCTGTTTTGATAGAAGCAAAAAAAAAAAAAAAAAAAAAAAAAAAAAAAAAAAAAAAATTTAAAAACAAAACTTGAAAAAAAAAAAAAAAAAAAAAAAAGAAAATTAAAAAAGAAAATTTAAAAAAGGGGATTGGTTTAAAGTTTGCCTCAGGGGTTGGAAACCTATTTTACAGGCTGTTTGACTGTCACTCTCCATGCATCTGTTCAAATTAGCTTCAGATAGTGAAATAAATAGGAAATATGGCCCAAGGGTTCCTGGTTTTGTCAGAAGGGACTGAGAGAAGTGAAGAAGATGAAGGAAGTCTGGTTCATGAAGGCCTGCTGGGTCTTTTTGCTGAGATGAAGTCCAAGCTGACTCCTCATTCAGTTCTTTCAATCATCACAAACACCCCAGTGGACAGGAAAACTCTGAATGTGGTGATACAGGATGCAAAGTCCAATACAAGATGGGGTGTGAGCTTCCCCAGGCTTGGACCCAGAGTTTCAACAGAGGAAAAAGAATGCCAAGGAAATGTGGGGAATGGGTTCAGGGTGAAAGAAAAGGTTATTTCAGGTGAAAGAAAAGGTTGTTTGCTCACAAACAAAATTTAGATCTCAGTGTCTCTTACATTATTGTTGATTTTAGAGAGCCAAGTGAGGGAGAAGCTTGGGCACTCACCCATCTCAGACCCAGTTCAATAAACTGCTTTTCTCAGGCAGCATTTTGAGCAATTCTGTCCCAATAAACCCTGCTCATGACAAAATCTTGGATATTTGGTTCCTCTTCTCTCAGAGTCCTACCAGAGCATGGAATTGTCTTTTTTTTTTCCCAGACTCCTTTGGTACTTAGCTCCTCTCTACTCATTTTCCCAAGAAAACCCTTCATCACTGCACTGATGTAAAATATTTGTGTGTCAGTGGTGTGACACATGTATGTCCAGACACAGAAGCAGAAGCACCTCCTCACCTCTAAGGCTTCCCCCACCCCCTGATTTCTGTGGTTTGATCCCTGGAAATTCAATTTACCTGTTTTTCCTCTGTATCCTCTGTGTGCATGAGTCAGGATAATACATCCATCACACTTATGTCACAGAAAACAATTAACTGATGTTTGTGTTCATTTAAGAATCAGTTTGTGTTGGTTCAGTGCTTGTGTTTCTCACACACAAAGCTTTTCATGAGACAACTCAGGTCCAGAGTTCTTCTTGCTAGGTCAAGCATGAAAGGCATTCCTGGAAGCTACTCCTTAGAAAATATATATTTTTATGTATCTTGCTGTTGCTGATGATTTTTCTCTAACACGTTTAAAAGTGCCTAAAATCAGCATGGAAATGTGCAAACAAAAGAGATTGAATTAATCTGCTTTTTGTCTATTTTGCACCTCCAGGGTATTTTGTGAGAAATAAAATGCACTTCACAGCTCTCTCTGTCATGTACTATAATTGCAATCAACATTTCTGTGTATCATAATAATGATGAAGATGATGATGATGGCCACTGTTTCCCACCTCTTTGCTGCAGGAAAAGAGCTGACTGCAACAGGATGTGCTGTGAGTTAGATTTATTCCCAGATTTATTCCTCCCCTCTCTCAGAGGCAAAATAGGTCAATATTCTATTATAGTCCAAACATTATTAACTTACTGTCTTCATGTATTTTGATATTGCAGTGGAAAAAACCCACAAAAATCAAAATTGAACTTCAGAAAACATGACTCATTTTGAGTGTAATTTTTAAAGTTTTCTCAATCTCTATTTTCTATTTTTTTTTCCCTCCAGGTTTTCTGTCTATGTGCACTTCGCTTTCTCAACAGAAAAGACAAAAAAAAAAAGGGAAAACAAAAACTGAAGACTGAAAATGGACGAAAACAAAACAGATCTTGGTGCTTGTGTTTCTTTGCACTGGGAGAGAAAGAAATGAGAGTTAAAATATCTAGATTTTATAAAGATACAATGAAAACTCGATAACAAATCCATAACAAATATCACTGATAATGTACAAAATGATAAAATCTCATTTTCATGCTCTTTTTGGGTTGTTTTATTTGTTCATACTGCCAATCACTTCCTCTTTGAGGGAGGAAGGTAAACAGAGGCACCAGATAAATGGCTCTAGGTGTCTAGAAATGGCAAAAGCAAAAATAATGATGGCTCAGACTGTCTCCTTATGGAGCTTGTGCTCCAGCTCATGCTTATGGAATTAATTATTATATTGTGGATCTTGCTTGTCAAGCACAGGAGTTCTCCTTGCCCCAGAGCTGTGTAGCTAAACCCCAGCCATGGAACTAAATTGGCAAACTCCTCACAATTACTTGAGGAGTAAGAATTTGGTCAAAGGTACAGGTGAAAAGGCTGGATGGGCTGATGAAAGGTATTCCCCAAATGAAGGAAATCCTGTCCAGATGAAGAGGTCACCTCATCTGCAAGCCTCAGGCACTGCAGGGATAATAATCCCCAGGTTCAAGCGTTAACGGGAGAATAAAAGACAAATGGAGCCATTTGTCATTTATTTTCAAATAAATGCAAGTTCATTTTGCACAGAGCCTTCACCCTGTCTCAACAGGCAGATCTGAGAGGGTAATTTCAGGGCAGTTTTCCCTGGTGTGTGCTTGCTCAAGGTTTATGTGAGTTTCTGCTTCACTTCTTCAAGGCACTGGGCTGCTCAGGGACTGGTTGGTGCTTTGCATTTTATGATACTAATTTTGGTGAACAAAGCTCTTTAATTCCACACAGTTTTCTTGCAGAGAGATTTCCTTAAGCTAAGAGAAAAGCCTACAGTGATGCTGTGGATTATGAAGGAAGCAAATGTAAAATGTGTTTTTACTGCCTTGGCACATGCCTGGGAACAATGTGGATGCAAAAAGGCTGAGGTTGAGTTTGGGGAAATTACACTGCCATTAATTGATTTTAATTAATTACAGCACTTTGCTGATTTGCAGGGAGGGGCACATGGTCCTGCTGGAGAATGGTTGGCTCTGCCCCCTGATCTCCACCCCCATGGCCTGGGAAGGGCCAAAGAGCACCAAGAACTCTGCAATTGAGCACCTGAGAGGCAGAGCTGGCCTGAGGGGTGAGCCCAGAGGGGCTGTGTTAAAAGGTGGGTTAGGCTTGCCTGGAGGAGGCAGCCTGCAGGCTTGCAGGGCTCCTGGGCTGGCATCAGCACCTCTCTTGCTCCATCCCAAGGGCAGCTCCTCTCAGGAAGGAGCTGGAAATGGCTGTTTTTTGTTAAGGGTGAGTAATTTTGAAGCTTGAATATAATGTTCATATAATGTTCATCTTCCATAACTATGATGGAGCCACTTTCTAGTCCTTGAGCTGGAGCCTGGTCTGTGTTTTTTGGCTGCAAGAGGTTTCCCAGGTTGGCTGCTTTGCATGGGGATGGAGCAAGAAGTGCTCCAGCTCATTTCAACTAAGTCCCCCATTTTCCCTTTCCTTGGCAATGTTGGTACTAGAGAGAAATAGCAACAACTCTTCAGCTGCCTGGGTTTTTTGTGAACTTTGTGTAGGTGTGTGAACATGAACATCTGAGAGCTGTCCAAGTGGGATGGGATGTGGCTCTAGAATAGCTCGATGCCCTGCTGAGGAACTAGTTCATCCCCTAATTATTGGTGAGACCGGAGGGTCTGCATTTCCTCTGGGGCAGAGGTGGCCATGAAGGAGGAGCTGAGGTACTCATGGACTCCTCTTTTCTCTTTTCCAGTGCTCACCAGGAAAGTGTTTGAGGGCCCTCCAGAGGAGAGGGAGAAAGAAAACACAAACAAAAGAACCCAAAGAATAAACAATCTGGTTTCTGTAGCCCATTGCTGAAAAGCAAATCAGTGCCTCTGTTGTGTGGTGATAAGGAGAATTTGGTATACAGGTACACTCTGGTTTCTGGTTTCCCAAAGAATCTAAAGCAGAGGCGAGGTAATAATTAAAAAAAGAAACACGCACAAACCCTTATAAAGCTCTAGGCTTGTGGCCTGTTTTGCTGTTTCCCTGCCTCCTCAACCCCAACACACCTTCAGACATTCCTGGCTGAGGTGGTTATAAAAAAACCCCCATGTCTAATTTGGATTCATAGAGCCCAGTCCAATCCTAAACAAACAATGCTGCCTGGGATTGCTTGCCAGGCAGTTGGCATATCTGGCAGATTAGCTCACACTAACAATAACGTGCTTCAAGAAGGAGAAGGGGCTGGATTTGGGCTCCCCTGCCAGCTGGAAGGGCACTGTGGGGATGTGTGCCCATCTGAGCCCCTCCTCTGGAGAGGAAAGGTTGGCACAAAGCAGCTTTCTCAACCCCAGCACTGAACCCTGTGTGGAGGTGGTTTGCAAGCTGAGCTGGGAGAGTAATTCCACTACAAATTGCTCCAAGTGTTAAAGCTCCAGGGAGCAGATTTAATAGCTGCCTTCAACCCCTGCCTTGCTTGGTCAGACTCTGCTTTATGGGCACAGCTGGATAATGGGGAGAAAGCCAGGGAGGGGAGGTTGTCCTGCACTTAAATTTGTGGAAAAATTAGTTTTCACTTGTCCAGGCTTTCCTTTGTGGGGATTCATCCCTGTAAGTTTAGATGCATGGAGGAGAGGTGCAGGCTGTAAGGGAGGAACTTTAATCCAGCTTGCCTGGATCAGGAATGTGGGAACTAGCACCAGGCAGACCTTACATGCTTTATGAACAGTGAAATGGGGTTTCAGCAGCTTGGTCTGGAATTTGGGTGGCCACACCAGCTTAACTTTCTTGGGGGGGAAAAAAAGTCAAGACTTCAAGCTTATATTTGTCTCGGATTTCAAATGGTGAAAGGGGGAGGGTGTATAAATGCCAACTCAGCAAAATAAATGGTTCACACAGAAAACCCAATGTCAGGAGTGAAACCTGACTCGCTGAGAGCCTCTTGTGTACCAAGTGCATGTGCTGTAGTGACAGGAGAGGATCCCTGCTGCCCTCATCCTCACACAATCAAAACACTCCTTGCTCAAGTGTTTGGGGATCAAAATGCCAAGAGCAAAGGAACAAAGGTATCTCTCTCTGAAGATGTGAATAAGTGGAAGCTGAGGTTTCAAATATCAGCCTGGGGAGTGTGCAAGGCAAACAGCACAGGTCCCTGCTGGGAGCCCAGCCCAGCACATCTGCCTGATACCTGCAGGGCAGATCTGGCTGCTCTGCTTTTGGGAGGGAGAATCTGAGGGGGCTGCCATTCCAAGTGGATCTGTGGGGTGGTGCTGTGAAGGAAGGAACTTTTAAGAGCATTTGTTTCTGTCAGCTTGTGTGGAAATCTCACCTGGCAGGCTTTGCAAACACTTTCTTGAGGTCCCCAGTATTTGTTTCCATTTTCTTCACACCCATTCCTATCTCCAACAGCAGCATCCCTTTCTAGATCCCAAAGGAGGTGAGGAAGGATTGGCAGTGCTCTTCCCAGTATTCTTCCCTATTGCCTTCAGCCCAGGGCTTGTGTGCCAGTCCTCTTTCCCTGAGGAAAAGGCAGTGTAGTCCTTTAATGCCCTTTGAAATGCTCGTGGTGCTGGAATGGGCTCTGTTCCTCACTGCTATCAACTCCAGTTCTTAGCAAGACTAAAACTTCCTGTTTTGGCTTTTGAGCAATGCAACTTCTCCAGGTCTTGATCTTGTAATTGCTCAGCTCTTGTTAACTGTTAAAAATGGTCAGAAACTGGAAAAATCAGGACAAGGGGAAACACTAGGAACACGCTTGCAAAAAAATCCCTCAAACACCCCAAAATGTGAACATCTGTGCCAAACAGAAACAGAGAAGTTGTTCAGATGGCAACCCCTGTGCTTATCTAATACCTCTTCAGACCATTTCTAGATGCCCAAGGCTGTGCAGGTTTCCACTTGCCTGTTCCTAAGCTTGCCCATGCTTTCTGCCTTTCCAGTCCCTGGTGCTGTGCCAGGGTTGGGTGATGCTCCCAAGCCAGCTGTGTGGGCCTGCCTGCACAGGCTGGATGTGTGGGGACCTGGCAGGGCCCCCTGCAACCCCCCTGAGCCCTGAGGGGCTGTGTGAAAGCCAGGGGTGACAGAGAGCAAGGTGGGCCTGTGGTGACTGCCACAGCCGTGCCAGTGGCTGCAGCTGGAGATCTCACAGGTCTTGTAGGGATTTTTGTCTGTTGGGGAAGATTAAACAAGAAAGCCTTATAAATATGATTGTCTGGCAAAAGATTTTGAGAATATAGAAACTATAAGCGAGATTGAAATGAAAGCAAGTTTTGAGATAACTTAGTTACTGAACAACTGGAAAACAATGGTTTGGCCGGCTGAAGGTGATCCCCTTTTGATGAGAGGATACCCATCTGATACCCTCTGTTTGCAGACAGCTCCAAGGGGCAGAGCAGACCCTGCCATCTTGGCAGAAGGGGCCCAAGGAGGAGTTTGTAGGGTTTAAAATGTAGCACAGTATGGTAACATAGTGATTCTTATAGGCTGTATGGAAATGCTATAGGATTTATATCTTGTACTAGATCGGTTAGTGAGAGTTAGAATATTCAACACAGAAGGAGATTTATTGTATTGTAACAGGAACTTCACACTTTTACCTCTTGTTTTAGCTCTTGCCTTTTACTCTCTTACCCCTTTTACTCTCTCACCCTCTCATCCTCTCTCATCCTCTCTCCCCCTCTCTTCTCTGGGGCCTGCTCTAGCTGTGGCTGCAGCTCCCAGCAGGGCCCTGCACCCAGGCCCTTTGCAATAAACCCCAAATCCCAGCAGGGCCCTGCACCCAGGCCCTTTGCAATAAACCCGAGTTCCACGACCTGGCTGCAGAGATCTCTGGTCTCTGTCCATCCTGACCCTCCTACCCTCGATGCTCCTACATTTGTCCATCCAAAGGGGTGCAGAAGGCTTGAGAAATCACTGTTTATTGCTTGTGGGGTGGAAGTGAAGCATCTCCCAGCAAAGAGCTCCTTTCTGGTCCTGGAAGGCCCTGCCTGCTGACCCCAGGGAGCTGCAGGGCTCCATCCCAGGGCAGGGAGGCTGTGCCCTCTCACAGAGCCACTCTGCCTGTGCAGGGAGCTTTGCAAAGCCCTGCACGGAACACTTCTCCATCACAGTCTGAATGTAATAATAATAATCTGGAAATAATCCCAGGGAAATCTGGAACCAGCTAGAAAGCACTTATTAGCTGAAATTCCAAATAATGTCACAGTTTTTTCCCAGAGCTTTCTGAGTGCTTTGTCCCAGCTGGTGTGGAGGTGTAGCCCCAGAAGGGAGGCAGTAAGATGGGAGCAAAGTGATCCTGCCAAAAAGAGGTGTAGTCCCCTCTCTGTGGAGCGAAGGAGGAGGCATCTCCCTCAGTCAGGTGTGTGTGTGGAGCCAGAGATCCTCTCCAGAGCTCCAGGCAGCTTCTGGCCCGTGCTCTTTCTGCATTTTTCTACCCGAGCAGACATCTGTGCATGGACCTTTTAGAGCAAATTCAGCAGCACTTACCTGAGATGCCCTTTTGTGGACTAATTTTGCAGTTCTGGCTGTTTTGCTGTTGAACATCCTCCTAAGGTAAATGGAGCAAATCAAAGTGAACATTCCTGACAAATTAATGGGCAAACACATTAGCAGCTCTGAAATGAAATGCCTGCACATCACATGAATTCATTTCACAGTGTTTATATATTTATGGAAATTTCTTTGAGTTATACCCCCAGCTCTAGCACAGATGATTTCTCCCTGCATTATAAAGCAGGTTATGTGGTGATAACTTCTAGACCCCTAAGAGCTACTGGAGCATGTAATTATCTTGTTCCACTTATTAATGATGAAAGGTCCATGCAAGTCCCAGAGTAGCTGTATGTACTATGCTCACTAACCTAAAGAGGCTATATAAATTTAATTTAGTTTAAAATTTAGTTGCTGACTTTAAATAATCTTCAAACAGAGAATATAAATGTTTTAGGGCATTTAAAGCTTTTAAAAAATTATTAATAGATCTGTAGTACTGCAAATCTAAACTCAATTTTGTGGTGCTAAGATATGGAACTGAGAAAGTGGGCTACAAGCAAAATAAGCTGATCAGGCTCTACTCTGAAATGCATACTACAAAAAAATCAAGACAATACAAATTAGGACTCAGGCTTTTAATTGTGAAGTGATATTATCAGTAATGGAAGAAATGTTAAAAATGGGTTTCATCTTGACACCCTTGGAAGGTGGCCAATTTATGGAATTCTGGGCTGGAGAGCTGCAAACCTCCATTCCCCAACCTTCCTAAAATGGCATCACTCATTTGATGATGTCTCCCAGCTATAATC